AAGCCTGGCTGGTGCCTCTTCAGATTGTGGTTTCCTATCCTCCATCAAAATGGATAGAGACACCAAAGCTGTGGACACGACCTTGGCAGCCAGTCCCCTGTGCCCCTGATTGTTGTGGGTCGCTCCCCCAGCGTTGCCGCAATCTGTTGATGGAGAGAGACAGAGAACGGTGCCCCAGCGGTGGAGACTAAATGATCTCTTCAGGGTGTGGCTGAATATTCCTGATCCCACTCTGGGAAGAGAAAAATAATAACAACATCCCACATTGCAACGATTCCAGAATTATTAACTGTGCACCTGTAGCTTGTCTGTGGTGCTGCGAGCAGAGCTACTGTGGTTAAAAAAAAAACTTCTCTTTTTTTTTTCTGAGGCATGGTTCCTTCAATCAGTCCAAGTAGGGAGAGGAATTAAAATACCGGGCCTGGATTGCCATTGGTGGCGGCAGCAGCCGTGGCCAGTCTGTGCATGCATAACTGTCAGACTGAGAGTGGCGGACGCTGGCTTTTGATCCCGCCCGGTCCCCCACAAAACAGAATTTAGTCTACTTCTGGACCATTCTCTGCTTCCAGAACCTTCCTTACCTCACCGCAGTCAGTGGATGGCAAGTGACGTGTCCCTTGCAGGACGCAGTGGGCTTATGTCCCCATGGCACCATTTCTCAGAGAGATGGATCCCCTCCAGCTCTTGAGACTCGTATCTTGGCACCATGCTGGTCCCACATGATTAGGGTGGGAGGGGGAGAAGAGGGTTCCCAAACTAATCCTCACATTTCTGTCATGAGCCAGAATGTAGACATTAAAACAGTGCCCTCCATCTACCCACTCAGCCCTCTTTGTCTGTTTTGAAATGTGGCTCTAGCTCCATGCCAGCCCAGGGATCGCTTCACCCTCAGTCCATGTCAATTGCATCTCTTCCCCGTCTTAGGGAAAACCACTTCACTGCTTTCATAACACAGAGGGACCTGGGATGGTGTTCCTTCCTCGTGCTAAGCATTGAAATTCGTGTCCTGGCTGTAGCGTAAGGTCAGGTGGGAAGGTCTGCTAGTGAATTTCTTCATGCCCTCCTTTCCGTACTGCACCTAGTTTGCTCTCTCCTGCCTCTTCTTCTCCTAGAGCCCCTTCACCCCTCCAGGTTTGCCGTTTCCGTACTGCACCTGGTTTGCTCTCTCCTGCCTCTTCTTCTAGAGCCCCTTCACCCCTCCAGGTTTGCCTCTCTTCTTACCTTCATAGCTCCTGGTCTTTTCTCCGCATGGCCAACATGCAGTCTGCACACCCTGTTAGGTCTTGTCACATCTGCAGCCCCACATTCATATTTGCATGCATGGGGATCAGTTGCGGAATCAAGAGTGCCCAACAGAGTTGAGAACATCCCTTGGCTCAGAGTTCACACCCAGAGCACCTTCTTCATTCCACCTCTTTTCTCTACGCTTTTCTTCTTCCTATACAATTTTCCCTTCTTCCCCCTCCCTGTAAATGCACCCATGGAGAAAGGTCTTGGTTCTGCCCAGTATGATCAAACCCCAAGGCTGGCTATCCAGGGTTTGGGATCAGGGTCAGCTTGTCACAAAACGCTTTCAAGGCCCCCTTGTTCTCTGTCCTTTTTATTGAAATAATTTTCTGCACTTAAAAAAGATTCAGCGACTTTTCCAGTGGAAAACAACCCCTTGGCCTATCTCCCTTGGAACCTATTTGGGTCAGACCAAAATGGTCCCACCAACCCTGTAGAAAACAGTCCATAGATTTTATGGGCTCTCTTCCCATAAAATGGGGGAGGAATTTAGAAGTCGTTTCGACTCTGACTTGAAAAACCTTTCCTGTGATCCAAATAATGTTTCCCATATTTTCTCCTTTCGAACCTGTTGAAGCTTGCTGAGCACAGTGTTTCTTTCGAAAGAAGGGAGAAAAAGCAACTGAGGATCCAGAAGGTTTTTCATCGTAAATAGGAGGTTAAAGCATAGTACTCCCAGAAGCAAATGAAAATCTCCAAGTATGGATAGTTTTGAATCATCCTTGTTCCCCACCAAGCAGCTGGAGAGTCCGAAACTCCAAATATAATGGATTACAGCTCTCATCATTCCCACCCAGCATAGCCATTGGTTCTGTGGCTGTTGATAATGTGGGGGGGGGGAGAGTCCAGTTGCATCTGAACCAGATCCATTTGAGGAAGGTGGTCCTCGTCTCCAAGTAGGAAGCAGGGGTTTCTAGGAAAGCTGGTTAAGAGGAAACTTGAAAGGTCACGGAGATGGGACTCTAAGGCACGTAACTTGAAGGGAAGAGCCTTGGAAAGGGGTGGCAGGCTGAAAATTTCAGTAACATGCCTTGTTAAGATTTTTAGTTTCCTAAACATCTCTAGCAACTTCACCCCAATAGTAGATCATATGCTAAAGGAGATGAGGTGGGGGATTATATGGCTGAAGCCTATAAAGAATTCCCTCTGCATAGGAAATCTTTTCCTGCTACACGGGTTTTGTATGTATGCAGATGGGGTTGTGGGGAGAGGGTCTTTTTTGTTTTTTGCTTGGCCAACGAGAAATAGTTAAGTATTTTCATTCTGAACGGTCATTCCAAATGGCACAGTGTAGGAATACCTCAACCAATTCCATGGGCTTTGAGCAAGAGGACTTAGGCTTGTATTCAATAAAGAAGGAAATATCATGTCTGGGATATAAAAGAAGCCACAAACTTCAGGGAAGGAGGAGGAGAAATCCAGGCCTCTCTTTCTGTTAAAATAGGTGGAGGAGAAACACACCAGGAGACATGGAAAATGTAGAATAACCCCGTCTCCCCATTATTCAGATCTCTTTCCTAGTAAACAGGAAACAAGGGTTTTCCTTCTGTGTAGAAACATAGAAATGTTTTTCACTATTGCAGAAGCCCAAAGGCTGAGGTGTTTGGGTGTGTGTGTTATGAATTAAAAATTGGGCACAGTTCCTTTTGCAAAGCAAGGAAGGCTTCCTTGTGGGAGGTTCTCACAAGTAGTGAACTGTAATGGAAGACTTTGAAACAACCCTCTTTTAAGGAGGTGTGGAGACATAATCATCAGATCTGCTTTGACCCTTGACCCCTTAGGAAAAAATGCTTTCCATCATGGAGGAGAGGAAGTCTAAATCAATCATTTCTCCATTGTGAAATGCCGCAATAAGTCTTCTCTGCCCCCCCCCAACATCATCCCTGCTCCATAACTTCACAAATACTCCTATCTGTAATTTGCTTTCTCTCCCCTCCCCCCACGGGCACTGGCTAGACCTCAACCATACATTTTTCCTGTTTTTTGAAATTTCTGAGGTATAAGATGTCTCCCAGAACCCTCGTTGAGATTCCAAGTTAATTTTCTGATTGAATAAGGCCACCATGTTCAACATCAGGAGGGAGGTGGGGAGGGGGAAAGAATGATTTTGCTTTTCGTTATTAATTTCAAAATGTCCAGTTAGTGGTTTTCTGCCTGCCTGGGATTGGGAAATGGGGTTAGGGGGAGGGATGGGACTGGAGGGGCTTGATGTATTATAATAATTAATCCTTACATTTCTAAAAAGAAACTTTTTTCTTTTTTTTTCTTTTTGGTGCCATAACTTCCCCCATGTACAGTTTCCCTCTTCTGTCTTTATTTTTTAATTTTATTTTACGCTTTCCTTTTTTTTCCTCCTGCCCCATTTTTTTCCTGTCTCCCTCTGTGTGGGTGATTAAAAACTAATGTGAGTGTGTGTATGTATGTGTGTATGTCTTTTTTTATATATGAAGAAAAAATGTTGGGGGAACTTAGACATATGTGTCCTATGGAATGTATTAGAAAATAAAACACTTTTTTAAAAAAAAAGCAACAACAGTAATGGGGCGGGGAAGCTTGAATCTTACTCGGGAGAAGCAAAAACTGAAAGAACACAAAAGATGGAATTGGTTGCTCTCTCTAGAGGGCTATCAGTGGGAGAGAAATCTTTTAATAAAATGTTGAATATTTAAAAACAAAACGTATTCTGTCTCTGAATTAGAGAGTGCATGGGTCACATTTCACCAGGATAATTCATGCCAGAACTAATCTCTACAACCGAACAATCATCCCATTTTTAATACACCTTCTGTGAGGTTAAAGGATTTATTTCATTCTCATTGAAGACATTAAACATGGAGTGGAGATCCTGAACCAGTGGTCCTCAACCAGTGATACACAAAAGTAGTGGAATGCAGTTTTCAGGATTCATTTCCTCAATACCTGTTTCTTCCTAAAACTGTAACAATCTACCTCCTACCTCTTTTAAGTCCTTTTTTTAAATTACAAAAAAACAAACAAAAAACTACGATATAGTAGCAAAAATGTGTAAACATATACATTTCTCTTTTTTGGGGGGGGAGCAGGGGTTAAGTTTGTTTCTATAATTGTGGGAACCAAGTTCTTTGGTAAAGTGATTGTAGGCGCACAAGACAAAAAGGGTTGAGACTCAATATCCTAAACCATATTGTGTTCATATAGAGGGTGGTAGTGATCACGCTAACTGAATTAGTTTGGAATAACAATTGGATCATATGGATCGGCATCCTCCTGTGCTACATTAAGGTGCCTGTGTTGTCTGGTTTCTTGAGACTAGACAGATTCTTGATCTAAGAAACATTGGCTGATTATCCAGGAGTAAGTAGTGACAAGTAGGCCCATTTAATCAATGGAAATTAGAGAGGAACTGACTCACCAAATCCCCATTGATTCAGTGAGCAAACTCCTGTTGTGACTCGCTGTTGGATTTCAGTCATTAGATTGAAGGGACCGCTGTTCATATCTATAGCTGTATTTTCAGTTGGCAGACATTATGAGGATTGTGAGTTAGAATTTATATGTTTGAGCATTTGCTCATGTTTACTCTTCTTTTTCTGAAAATACAGTCCCTCACCCACAGCCCGTAGACCTGCTCCATTCTGCAGCTCTGTGCTTTGCAGCCTGCAAACATCCTACCGTCTTTCATTAGAAGGAATTCCATTGCTTAGCAACTGGACTCTGGAAACATTCCCATGGCAACTGCATCCCTGGCAGTTGGCTACCAGGTCCGAGGAGCATCTTGGTTATATTCTTTTTTCTGCAAGCAGCAGGCTAAGCAGGGAATGGGGTGATGGTCTGTATTCAAGGTAGCCAAATGGGGTAGGATGGGTCTCTCTTCTTTAAAACAGGGTTTTAAATCACTTTTATTCTGGGGATACTTCATAGCAAGTCACATAGATATACTAATGGTGCCATTTCTGGATGATCACTGTTGCCTGCCAAAATCCTAACTTCTTATTTTATGTTTAGGCCAAATTTCCCTTCAAAGTTGCATGGTGAGACATGAACTGACCACCAAATTGTGTATGACTTATTTCCTCTCTAGTGGTGGTTTATGTGTCTGGTAGCATTGACTGCCTGGCCAGTGTAGAAGTGTAGGCCTCCACATCCTTGTGTCACAGAGGCATGGCACCATCTGACATATGGTAGCACTGACTGGAGACATCAACAGACAGAGCCTCGGCTATGGAGCTATTCCACTTACATGTTTGGGGAGGAGATGGTGTAACACATTCAGTACAAGACTTGACAGGTGTCAGCTGATTAGGAAAATTTACCTCTTCTATTTAGACATCTATATGGCCAAAATCCAGAGCTTGCCAAAGATAGTTTCTTGGACTGATAGAATCCATGTTTGTTTTATCATAGTCTTAAAAAGTAACTTTCCCTAATGTTGGCTAAGCCAATGATCCTTTGTTCCCTCCCACTGGCCATAGAATCCTTCTCCTGCATGGAATGGGTGACAAGTTACACGAATGCTAATTCAGATCGTAACCTTTTGGCCGTCAAAATGTTTTGAGCAAGCTTTTGCTGAGTTTGTGGCCAAAAAAATGAAAAGAAAAAGAAAAAAGGAAATGCTATTTTAGGCTGCAGTAACTAAAGTATAGTCTCCAAATTGCTAGCCCTCCTCTAATTGGCACTGGTTAGCTTAGGTCTTACCCTAAGTACTACATCCAGTTCTGGACATCACACCATTTGCGGACAAACTGGAGCAGCTTTCAAAGGAGGGCATCAGGGGAATGGAAACCAAGCCCCGTGCCAAAAGACTGAAAGAACGATTTAGCCTTGGAAAAATAAGATTGAGGGGAGGTATTATAGCACTCTAGATATTTGAAAGGTTGACATACAGAGGAGGGGCAGGATCTGTTCTTGATCACCTCAGACTACAAGAGAGTAATAATGGCTTTAAATTGCTGAAATCCAGATTATAAATGAGAGATGAAGTCTCAGGATGTAGAAAATAGAAACAAGCTCTTTGTTCTGTATTTTTTAAAATGAGTCATTCAAAAGCTTTCAAACACTTTCAATTAGTTTTGGAGCTGATATAGATTAAAGAAAGGTGCAGAGAGTATAAAGAAGCTCGCTCCTGAAGAAGACTTCACCAAAACACATTGAGCCAGAGCTTTTTAACAACTTATTTAAAAGAAATGCAGAATAAAGAGTTAGTTTCTTAAAAAGCTGGAGGCTTCGTCTTTCATTTATAATCTGGACTTCGTGGATGTACCAGTTCATTTTGTTTTGTTTAAGTTGCTAGAAGTAAGATTTTAGGTGAGTAATGGGGAAAATTTCCTGTTAGAGCAGTACAACAATGTACTTGAGGCATTCAAGAAAAAAAATTATGCAACCACCTGTCAGATATACTTTAATTTGGATTCCTTCATTCAGCAAAGGGGTTGAACTTTATGGCCTTTTAGGCTCCTTCCAACTCCCTTATTCTATGAAATATCTCGGCACTAGTAAATTTCCTCGTACAGCTTCTGCACCTTGAGGTTTGGGTGCAAAGAAGCAGCCAGCAGGTTTACACCAGCCTGTTCTCTATTGTAGCACATTTTCACTTTCCATCATGTGGAGCATGCATGGCTTTCTGTCTACCTTGTATCTACTCAAAGTGTAGAGAAGGCTGTGAGCACCAGGTTCTTTATAACAAAAACTGTATGAAGAAAATCATCCTCCACAACCTGTAGGCACATGTGCTTTTAAAACACAACATATTTTACTTCTGTTGGCCATAGGTAATAGCCAAATGGACCAAAGCCTTTTCCAATAGAAAGATGATTTTACTTTGGCTCTCTCACACCAGTTCCAAATTTTCCCCCAGGTTATCCTTTGCATCACCCACATGCTTCGAAACTCTCTCCTTTGGGATTATGAGGACTAGTACCTTGTTTCAGGTCTAGAAGCCTTTGACAACAGCCCTAACTCCCTGCTGTTTCCATTTGTGTAGTAAAGAGTTAAAAAATAAAAATCTATTAAGGCTTCTAGACCTGAAACAAGGTACTAGTCCTCATAATCCCAAAGGAGAGAGTTTCGAAGCATGTGGGTGATGCAAAGGATAACCTGGGGGAAAGTTCACCTTATGGTTCCATACAGTGAATACTGTATATTTGTTGTGTCTTTGCTTGTTTGCTTTTTTAAAAAAGCAAGTCAGCATACAACATTTTAAAATAAACAAACACGATTTAAAAAACAGCAAATAAAAATAATCTGGCAGCAGTCCATGAGAACATCAGACTGCTAAAATAAAATTTAAAGATCATTACATACTTGGGAAAAAATATTTATCTGGTGCCTGAATGTCAACAAATTCACATCAGGGAAACAAAAAGGGTGAGGGGATTTCATAAAAAGATGCCTTTGATCAAAGATGCCTTTGATCACCTCAGAAGGTGGGTCATACCTGACAAATGGCCATTGTAAGATAGCAATAATGCTGGGGAAAAGTAGAAGGCAGTAGGAAAAAAGGACAAATGAATATGAGATGGATTGACTAAATAAAGGAACCATGGCCTTGAATTTGTAAGACATGAACATGGCTATTAACAATACAATCTTAGGTGATGGGGTGTCACTACTTAATAGGGACACATAACCTGGAAGCAACTGGGTGGCAACAACAACAACAACAGATGAACCTGGTAAGCAAGAATATAGCTTGGCAAAGTATTGCTCTAACCTTCCAGGATTAACCATGTGAGTTATGGGATACTAATACTGTACTGAGTCTGAAAATGCGCATCCCTGTATTTCCATGACAGAGGAAGGAAACTGTGCATAGTCTCAAGCACACTTTTTGCATTGCCCAGCTGAAACGATGGATAGCTCCAGTCAATGCTTTGTGTGAATGAGTCCCACAGCATACAGCTTCTGAAACAGTTCCTGCAAGCCACTGAAAGGATCGGGGACGGAAGGTGCAGTCACATAGTTTGTGACATTTGGCCTTTGACGTAATGGTCTTCTGCACTTTCCTGCATTGACTACTATTATACTTGCTACACTGTGTAGTGTGCCTGCCTTGCTGCATTTGGGGCGGAATGGAGCCCCAGATCTCTGTCCCAATGGCACCATTACATCGCAGTCTTGCTTTTCAGCCAGGCAGACTCTCTCTAGCATTTTGCATTCGGTAGCCATCCATCTTTCGCTCTCTGTTTCTTGTTTAGGTCCAAAATGGAAGAGAGTTCTCAGTCTCCCAAGGACCCTGCTTCTCAAGCTGACAAAGCAGCCCCAGCGGATTTTGCACCACGAATATCAGAAGCCATGGCTGAGTTCTTAGTAAACACGGTTGCTAGCACTGCCAAAATGGTCCAGACTTCTATACAAGCCCAAAAGTCTGCTCAGGTAGTCCATTCCTTAGCTGACTGTAAAAACGAAGTCTAAGGTTGAATGTGGCTAAATGGAGTGCATGAGAACTAAAATGTAGAGCAGAAACAGGCCTTCATGGTAATCCTTGATTAGAAGATGGAATTCCTTAACATCTGAAAATGCCTTACTTGTCAGAGGAGGAGTTTTTCTCCGTTCAGATAACAATTAGATTGCTTTTTTTTCTTTTTAGATTGATCTCCAGAATCAGACACAGTAAGCATGGGATTCCTTCAAAGTATGACTTTTCAAATATGGAACTGTGCCTGAATCACTTATCGCCAACACTAATGTGCTTTAGCTCTAATCACGGGCATTTAGTGTTTACTTCTGTCCTTTTTTTTTTTTTTTTTTTGAAGATTTTGAATTTTAGTTGAATTCCTCTAGCTACACAACAGAAGTGCAGGGATTCACAGAGCAGAATAGCTTCTGGTTCCACAGAGTAGTCCATTCCTTTTTCTCATCAACTGATACACTCTCAAGAACTCACTCTTGAGACATTAGTAGGGAAAAAATACAAAAGTTTTTATTATTTACAAATCAAATAGCAAACTGATAAACATGTTTGCTTTCAGCAGTAGACTACAACAGCCTCTGGAGAGGGGGAAAGCACAGCAGACCACTCTTTGAATGCAGAGACAGAGAAGGAATGATTGATCAGTACTGGATAGATTGACAGTCATCCCAGCCCAGAAAGGTCCCGCCCAGCCACACCTTCTCCAGTCGCATGCGAGGTTGTAAAAACTTCAACATTTTTTCACTCTCAAAATACAAAGATGGTGCACATTAAGAGCCACAAAATATATGGCATTTTTCCAAGAGCAACTGTGTTTTGTCTTGCTTTGCTTTTACTGGAAAACTGCCTTTTGCCCACCTCAGCTTGCCTACTTGAAGTACATTTCCCTGCAACAACAAAAACCACTACAATTAAAACTACAACTACTTTAGTAGTATTAAAGTAGGGCAGGGATTTTTGCTAAGCAGGAGAGAGCAAACTATAGCCTTCCAGTTGTTGGATTTCCATACTCATCACTCTCAACCAGTATAGCCACTGATCAAGGGTGATTGGAGTTGTAGTCAAACAGTATCTGGGGCGGAGCCTGTAGATGTATTTTAAGAAGAATGAT